TCTAAAAGCGTTCTTATATTTAGAAATAATTTCGTCGTCACCCAAAATATCATTCTGGCCTTTGTACCTATTTATTTGTTCTGCTTTAAATGAGGTTATAATTTCATTTAATGTATCTATATCAGCAGAACTTAATGCCTTTTCCAAATTTATCATCTTACCATGGAAACTTGTCATTTGATAAATCGAACGTTTAACATTTCTCACCCTTGGAAAGTGAGGTGATAATATCTGAATGGAAAGAGACATCGCTTCGCAAAGAGATGTATCAATGTAGCAAGCGTGTGTGTGGCCCCGTTTCAAATCTGAATTTTTTACTGTACATTTATGGATCTTTTCTAACAATTTTGTTATTTTCTTAAGAGTGCAAGCATTCAACGCTTCAAGAAATTTTCGGTAACGCTCAATCAGAAATCGATCATCAGTTTTACACGAGGCACTGCAAAGCCATGCTTTTTTTGCTCGTGCTTGTATTAAAGGTAATACGTTCGTAACTTGACCTTCCACGTTCATTATCAAAGGGTGTAACAAAGGTTGTTGCGAAGAAGTTATTTCTCGATATGAATCAATAAAATAATTCTCGGACGAAGCTGTATGTCTCGATATGCCACATAATGCACGTAATTTATCATCAATTGTTGAACATTCATCTGCAACAGTCAAGCATATTTCTGCTTTTTTTTTAAGTGAAGTTAATATTCGTTGCATATTGCGACTATAATTCTCTTTAATACACATAGACCAACGTACGATTCTCTCTGCTTCTAATCGTTTCTCAACTGGATCTTTAATATCGAGTTTCTCAAAAATTTTTGTAACAGCCAAAGGGTTACTAAGCTTTTTAACGTGACTCGACCAAAGTTTTTTATACTTTTTGGTAATATTTTTAGCAATATCGTGATTTTTCTTTGTATGTATGTAATTCAACTTCTTTTTCTCGTAATATCGCTTATTATAAAGCCATTTACGATCAGAAGGTAATTCCTTTTGTCTCCGTCGTTCACGCTGAGAATTTATTAAATAACGAACTCGCATTTGTGTACGTTCTTTTATTATATTCTTTGTATATCGACATTGTTTTTTAACACGGTTATTCTCCAAATTCTGTTTATATCGAAATCGTTGTTTAGCACGATTATTTTCTTTATCATGTTCATATTGAA